CGGTCAATGTTATATACAGGGATACAATCCGGGGCCTACCTCTGCCGATGTAGTGTTCTCTTAACACTTTTAGACTCTCTCGGCCTTTGTCCTTTGTGTCCCAGAATATCAGCCCCAAGCTTGTGTTGTCTAGGAGTGGTGCTAGTTCGCAGTATGCTTCGGTGTTCAGCTTAGTATCCAGAGCTCGCGCGGCCTCCGTTATTTCTCCCGTGAGGCCCGTCAAAATTGTCTTTTTCAGCCCCACTCCGTGCATACAGCACAACATCCGCTCTTCCCAGAGCTCGTATTCTTCTGCCCTTCCGTCAAATGTGGGCCACTTGCTTCTGCCTCTGGTCGCCATCTTTTGATTGTAGCTTAGCTGCCCATTAGCTTAGCTTTAGTGTCCCGCAGTTTTCCCGCCGCTAAACTAGCCTAAACTTTTCAGCTAACTAGCTATCGTTATTTCGCTCTTCCGTGATCTGGGCCCATAATCTGTTGATAGAGTCACATGTATAGCAATAAACTGGTCATGACGACGAGGTCTTCTTTAGCCTTAACTGGCGTGGTTTATTTTCATATGCGCATTGCACCACTTGACCTGCTCTCCATGAGAGCTAGAGAGAGAGAGATAGAAGGGGAGGGAACAATCCCTGATACCTGACGTCAGCTACAATAGCTGCGCCTCCTTACGCCTATAGCGCCCTCTTACTGTGGAACAGTTATAGTGCAGTTACATGCAGACATATTAATACTTACACTTAACAATAACAGTTGTGAGGACAGGAGGTGAGGCCGAGCCCCGCAGACCACAGCTCTCTCTCTCTCTATGCTCCGGATCCAACACACTCTCACTCCATAATCGTCCAGGAGCGACGCTTGGTCAGGGTCCCGTGGCGTGCAGTTGTGACGCTCCTAGGCTCCTTCAGCTTCATTAAGGGACGCAAATAGCTTTCAACTGATTTCAATGTATTCCCATCTGCGGCGGGATTTGACGCTCATGGAAGCACGGCATTCGTTTGTGTCAGCTGCCCTTAAAAGGCAATGTGAGCGTCCATTCCCATTGGATAACGGAGAATTGTACACCCAGAAGTAAGTATTCCCCTTACTGTCGATTGATTTTACAGTGATATCTGCACTACTCATCGACTAAAAAACACCAGATTATCCTTGTTAATTACACAACATTGATTGGTTTAAATTGTGTGCAATGCTTTTGTATTTTTCCCCTTCGATTCTGAGAAATAAATATTTTTTCGGAGTAAAGGATGGCAGAAGACAAAAAACCGGAATCGAAAAGCAGAACCGGAATCGTTACAATCCAAATGATACCCAACCCTATGTGTGATGCAGTAAAATCTTACCGCTCACTTACGTTAGCGGTGTAGTAAAAAACGTGGGAAAATGTAAAATACGATGACGAAGAAGAAGATTCCAGTGGCCCCAATTTGTTTCCATTCTGGACAAGTGAAATATGTATTCGGACAAGTATATTGTCAAACTCACTTGTCCATGGACAAGTACTCTCTAAAAACTTTTTCTTACACTATACAGCATAGTATCGTGATAATAGCCTTGTTATTCTGTTAAAATAAGTCAAGTTAGTCGTCAGTTTGTTTAGTATTTGGCCGTGTAATAAGCCGGATAATGTGATTATTGGAAAAAGAAACCCCGACAGTATGATCAGAGAGACGGACGCGAGGCGGAGGGATCTTGATCGGGTGGTATTTTGTTTACGTTTGAGATGTTCCCGCATCATTGTGGTGCTCCCGTGCAAGCTCGACTTTACACAGTTTGCAAGTAACACACTTTTAACTGTTGTTTAACCTGTTAAGCCCTGAGCCTGTTTTTCAGGTTTCAGGCTCGGAAATGCTATGCCCAAAACAAATGACTATCTTCACTTCTAAAAAAAACATTACTTAGAGTGAAAACCACCCTTGAATGATGGGATAGTAGACTAAAAGCTTTAGGAATCCAAACTATAACATATAAGTACCCTGTATCAAGATTGATGGAAAACAAGTGACATTTGACCTTTTTATGGAGATTTAGAAGAAAACCCACTTCTGGGGTCATTTGGGTGGATTTGCCATATCTCTGGCCCCCCTCCTTCAATTTTGACGATTGACTCCTCTTTTTAACCGTTGCAGCCAATAGAATCGAGGGGAAGTTCCTAAAATCCATCTAAACATTACCCATTGGTGAATGAGTGATGCACAACCAAAGTGCCCCGGAACCGGAAGCTGTTCTGCACTCTGGTAGCAATCAGAGCAGAGATATGAAATCTCCGTTATTGACATAAATATGAGGATGGTTTATCATTAGTCATTTCAAAGTGACACATACATATTGGATTAACCTATGGATTAACCTTCAGCAGCGTTTTTATCGTTTTAATGCCATTGAACAGAAGAGCTCAGGTGAGACAATGTCCCGTAATCTGTGGAATCTCAGCTTGCTAGTTGATGTATTGTTTTGCAGATACGATAAGCAATAAGGGTATTTTAACGGAGGTTCTATGCTAAGTGCGTTTTTTTTACGCTGTGTCACCTCGTGTCTGCAACACATGTTTTTGTCAATTCTCCGACCGTAACTTCATAATAAACCTTCAGTGTTTGCCATCAAGCTCCAGCTCTCCTGTGTTTCACTCATGGATGTTTAATAAGAACTGGATACAGTGTCGGAGGCCTCATTCATTGTTATGAGAGCTGCTCATTGGCACATTAAGTCAAAATGGCCTGACATTCTCAAGAGCAAAACGTCACAAATTACCCATCATGCCTTGCTGGCGAGAGCATAGAGCATGCGCAGTTGAGTTTTCCCTTAACCAGTTAAGCCCTGAGCCTGTTTTTCAGGTTTCAGGCTCGAAAATGCCACTAACACAACAAATGATATATCTTCACTTCTAAAAGGGGTAAATTAATAATTATTTTTCTCAAAGCAAGGTTACATCTGTGAGTTGGATGTAGAAGTGTCAGAATCAATATAGATGTTTTTATTTTAAAGTAAATTCAGATGGAACATAGTAAAAACATGTAAATTCTAATGTCCACCTAAAAAAAAAACTTTACTTATAGTGAAAACCACCCTTGCATGATGGGTTAGTAGACTAAAAGCTTTAGGAATCCAAACTATAACATATAATAAGTACCCTGTATCAAGATTGATGCAAAACAAGTGAAATTTGACCTTTTTAGAGAGATTTAGAAAAATAAAGTCTAAGCGGACTCACCTCTGGGTAATTTGGGAACCATCGGTTCCATTTGAACTTTTTCACAGTAAAAATCATTTTATTACTTTGAATTATCACTATAGGTATTCATTCCATCCAAATACAACTGTTGTGAAAAAAAATAAAAATAAAATAAAATAAAACATAGGCCTACTCTTACAGTGAGCCTCTGAATTAGCCCCGAGCGAAAAATGCTAACCTATTACAGCACCGAAAATCACTCCTCGCTCCCTTATTACTTATCCTAGCTGCACATCCAACACATTGTTTATGATCGCAAGGAGACACAGAATCTAACGGTGCCCACCTGAACAGCCCAACACTGAAAGATACAAACTCGCGACGTTATCAACAAAAACGTACATCAAAATAAATGGCGCTAGCGCTAATGCGCTAGGCTAACAATGACTTACCTTCCTCGTTGTCTGGTCTAAACTGGTCTTCAATGGCATTAAAACGATAAAAACGATGATGTAGTTAATCCATAGATTAATATCCAATGGGGCTATGTCCCCTTTGAAATGTTCTGATAATCTATAAGCAATAAAACTGCAATTCCGTTATCTGCTGTCCGCTCTGTGCTCCGTGCGCTCTGGGTCCGGCTGCATTTCCTGCTTCGTTACGTTGTAAACAATAAATGAAGTCGGCTGCGTAATGTACTTAAGTTGGCTGCCATTCTTTATAATTTGCGCAGGACCATATCTCTGGAACCCATTGGTCGATTCGTGTGATTTACACCTTTTTCTTAACCATCAGAACCAATAGAATCGATGGGCAGTTCCCAAATCTCCGTAAACATTACCATAGCGGACGTAATAGAGAAGCAAACGAAGCATATCTGAAAGTGCAAGCCTGGACGGCAATACTTTATACCGAGTATATTGCCATAAATATGATGATTGATTATCAGTAAAAAATTATACGTGACACAAAGACATTGGATTAATCTTGAGATGCGTTTTTATTCCGTTGAACACAACTTTTGATCACAAATCAAAAAAGGTAAGACGTAATTATTGTAATATTTTTGGAACCGGATGTTGTTTACTTTCTCTTTTCTGGCTGATAGCTCCAGGAATTCGAGGTCGGACAGTGATGACATTACATGTGTGGAATCTGTGGAGTCTCAGCTTTAAATCGTATATCTTGTTTGTGCAGTTAATATAGTAATAAGGGCATTTCTACCGTGTGTTGTGTGTAAAAAAGCGTTAGCATTAGTTAGCATTATTTCGCTCAATGCTAATTCAAAGGCTTGGTATTACTCTTGTGTTTTTTTTAGCTAACAATTGTTCTTATTGTCAGTTAGCGGAGTTTCTTACCTTTAAAAGGGTATGAAACATTAATAGTTTCATAAATGTTAAGAAGCCCTGAGACATGTGAGAAAACAAAAACTGTGGGAGGGGTCCACTGGGGGGACCTTCGGGCTTAACTGGTTAAGCCCCGCCTCCAATCTCCCTCACTCAGCTCAGTAGAATGAATGGACAGAGAAAATACATCTGGATTCAGCTTTTAGCGCATTTTACAACTTTGAATACCTAATGAATCAAATAAGGGCTATACAAGTTTTATTACTGGGTAGTTTATTTAGTTAAAAGATTGACACAAATCTCATGTAGAATGTTGCTGTATTACTGCATCAAATATAATACAAATATATTAAACGCAAACGGTTAGTAAAATAAGTATTTTGTTAACTGAAGGTTTGTATTAAGTAAGTTTTTATTGTGTTAACTGTATATGTATTTATGCTTTTTAGATTTACTTTCTCTCTTTCTCTGTCCGTCTGTTTTAGAAACCGAAAGGAAGAGAGAGACGTCACAGCTGTCAGCAATGTGACAAATCCTTTACAAAATCTGGAAATTTAAAGAACCACCTGCGTATTCATACAGGAGAAAAACCGTACAGCTGCGAAGAGTGTGGGAAAACATTCACTACATCAGGTGCTCTCAAAACACATCACCGTATTCACACTGGAGAAAGACCGTACAGCTGTGAAGAGTGTGGGAAAACATTCACTACATCAGGTGATCTCAAAACACATCACCGTATTCACACTGGAGAAAGACCGTACAGCTGTGAAGAGTGTGGGAAAACATTCACTCGATCAGGTGATCTGAAATCACATCACCGTATTCACACTGGAGAAAGACCGTACAGCTGTGAAGAGTGTGGGAAAACATTCAATCAATCAGGTGCTCTCAAATCACATCACCTTGTTCACACGGGAGAAAAACCGTACAGCTGTGAAGTGTGTGGGAAAACATTCCAGAACTTAGGTAATTTTCAAACACATCATCGTATTCATACTGGAGAAAAACCGTATTGGTGTGAAGAGTGTGGGAAAGTGTTCACTCAATCAGGTGCTCTCAAATCACATCACCGTGTTCACACTGGAGACAAACCATAGTAGTGTAAAGAGTGTGGGAAAACGTTTTCTCTAAGTATTCACCTTAAAGTCCACGAGCGAATCCACACTGCATTGTTTTGAACAACTATGAGAGCCAAGCTAGCTGTTTCCTCCTCCTGAAGTCCTGAGAGCTGTATTGTTATATTTTAAGAGTCTTTTTGAATTGAAGTCTGACTAATAGACTTCAATTCACAGAGTCAGTCTCGTTGTATGTCCCTGAGGTCCTCCTCAGCTTTTTAAATATCCCTAAAGTCCCCCAAAATAAAATGGGTGAGGCTTTTATCCACTACACTCCCAAATTGTGGAACACCAGGAAATATCAGAGAGGCTCAGTGGACATTTTTAAACGCCTTCTAAAGAAACATCTCTTTAGATTAGCTTATTATTAGCAACCCCCCACTTTAAATGGTCTTTTAGTCTTTATTATTTACCTACTTTTATCTTATATTAGTTTTTTTTTAATAGTTTTCAATAACAACATTTATTTTTACATTCTTTTATTTTACATTTTAATAGTTTAACCTTAATTAGAATTAGGACGTTTTTATTACTATGTATTTGTATTTCTGTTGTACCTATATGTTCACTTTATTGTATAGGGTTCTATATTGTTGGATCTATTCACTTGTCTTGTGTCTTGTCTTTCTGAGAGAAATCATAATTTAGTTTTCATAATCCTTCTCCTCTGGGCTGCTTGTGTGACGTGTGCAGCATGTGTAATGTGGTGTCTCTGTGTGAGACCTGTTAGTTTAACTTGTTCATTGTTAGGAGATGTGCTCCAGTTTATCTTTGTGCATGGAGTACTTCAGTCACTTTCTTTTAGGAGAAAGTTGTTCTCAGTTCATCTTAAGTTTGTTTTGTAAATTGGCTGGTGAGCCTTACTCCTTATTCTTTTTCAAAGATGTTTTGCCTTGCATGGCCTCAGATCTACTTCATATAGTAAACAAATCTCTTCACTCAGGTATTTTTCCACAGGCCCTGAAAACTGCAGTCATTAAACCACTCTTAAAAAAGAATAATCTAGATGCTTCAGTAATGAACAATTACAGGCCCATATCAAACCTCCCATTTCTAGGTAAAATCATTGAAAAAGTTGTTTTTCAACAGTTGAGTAATTTCTTGCATTTAAAGGAATGCTCCACTCATTAGATAATTGATCAAAACTTCAGTATTTAGTGAAACATTATGTTTAAACCATACCCTGAAGAAATCAGCGATATTCCCCGGTAAATAATGATTTTATAGCTCTTTTTTATCAAAACCTGTATATTCCGTCAGGCCGCTGCCATTTTGCCCATTTTCAGTAGTCACGTGATGGTCGTGACGTCATCCATGCGTTCACTTTGTAAACACACGAAAACGGAGTATTTGAGTTCGGACTCGTCAGCCGACGAAGAAGTTTTGAGCAATATGAAGAGATTGGATGGGGGAATTCAGCCATACAGGTTCGAGCCTACTTAGTAGGGCTGTGCGATTATGGCAAAAATCATAATCACGATTATTTGGGTCAATAATTGATATCACGATTATTTTGACGATTATTCATTGACCATTTATTGAACTTTAAAACAAATAATATTTTACCAATAAACAAGATCAACAAATATGTTGGAGCGCACTTCCAAAACCATACTAAACATATATTAATATGATAAATACAAATAAATTAGACCAAAATAAATGAAATCAAACATGTTGCAGTGCACTGTCACAACCTACTGAAAACTCCTTAACATATAGCCAACATTTTGTAGCCAACATTTTGGTAAAACATATTCAACATATTCCACTCAGTTAAACGTTGCAGACTGGCCAACCGTCATGGTCCAGAAGTAACAGGAAATAAATGCAATAAATACAATTTAAGACCAAATAAAAATGTTTTTTTTTCTTTTAATGTTTAATTGACTGCACTGTAACTTTTATCCATGTATTTTTTCTTTTAATGTTTATTTTATTAGCTTTTCTTTTTAATGACTGATTTTAAATGCCATTTTCTTAATCTCTTTCATTTTTTGTAAAGCACTTTGAATTGCCTTGTGTTGAAAAGTGCTATATAAATAAACTTGCCTTGCTTGCCTTGCCTTGCCTTGCCTTCAAAAACATAAACATTATCTACTAATTTTGCCAAATCAGTTTCCTCTCTCTTTTTTCTCTCTCCCGGTTATTTTTATATTTTGTTACTTCCCTTTGTACCCCTAGTTTAGGAGGGAATGTAACACTGTATTTAATTTGTTATTATCATACCTTTTACCTCCTTGTGTATCTTAACCTTTTAAAATGTTATATTTAGCTGCATGTATCTATAAGGGTCTTAACATCTGAGGGGACTTTCTTGTTGTTTATTGAACTATGAAGAAATGTTTTACTATGCTGTGTTTCAACCATGGTTTTCTAATAGCCTTGTTATTCCATATATAAAATATTATATCTCAAGGGTTAAACTGCTAGCCTCGTTAAGCTGCATTGAAGGACATTAGTTTAACTGTTCACTAATCTGCCAACTAGTTTCTCAAATAATCTGTTTGGTTAATAAAATGTTGTGACTTTAAACTTCTATTGGGGTGTTTTTGATAGTTCCTGTTGAGTTAGCCGTCTGTTCTAGGTTACAGTCGAATTGTCCAAAAATCTGCTCCTATCGTCTTTTCCTATCCTAGATTCCTTAACCTTAGTGTGAAACGTCACAGGGTTAATGCCTTTACTTATGTTTACCGACTGTTAATCTGTTTTTATTAAAAAGTACAGGCTGCATATGTGTGCTCAACCTTGGAGAAACTTGACATGTTTTGGTATGTGTCTGAACCTCTCTTTAGTGGTTCATTAATAAAACTGATATTTTGACGTGTGCCTACTTTGTTCATGTACTGTTGAGGTTAATTTCAGTGTGTGCTATAATGTATTTACAAAGTGTCAAGAGTAGACAACTTTAGAATAGGGAACCTGTTCAGGTCAACTAATCAGACTACTAGCTTATTGGTTATGAACAAGACTTCACTTTAAAATAGGTGTGACAATGTGAGGTGCAGGTGAAAAAACAATACATGGAGAGGGTTTTCTTTTTAAAATAAACAGGCGTTTTATTTCTTAGCCTTCCATATTCTTTTATCGGAACACAAATCTTCATGTCTGGTGCTAGGTTCACCAGCAAGGAACAAACACAAATGCCCCCCTCCCCTCTCTTCCCAACCACATTTATAGGAGACTGCCCGCCTTCCCAATCCAACCTGTTCAATCAGGTCATAGTTCTGAAAGTGGAGTGAAGGGTTAAATACAAAATGAAAAACTGTTGTCGACATTTAATAAAACCCTAAAGGCTTAAGTAAATTCATAATTGCATCAATATAAATATGATACCTTAAGAAACAACAGGTCTGCTTAAAACAGATACTCATACTCACTCCGCCTACTCATACGGCACATATAAGGAATACTTTGGAGGCGTCCTCCCCCTTTGAACACATTCATTTCGAGGCATTTTATTAATTTGTCCATGTAAACTGTTTTTATAACTTTAGCTGAAATAAAGAAACATGTGCTACCTTTCTTTACAAACAAATAGTTAAGCCAACATGTTAGTGAGGGAGTGTGTGCGCTTCCTCACAATAGAGAACATGTTCTTAGATGGAAATACCTAATTAGAGTCAAACTACTGTTGAGATCTTCATAGTATGTTGAATACTTAAAACGAAAGTTAGTTATAATCAAATATAATCAATTATATTATTGTATAACCCACAATGAAAATGCTTCATATTTTAGGTTTTTCTATATTTACAGTATAAACAAAACACAAGTGGTTTGTTAAATTGAGTGTAAGGCCTATAATGATGTATGCCTTAATCTCTGATAAGAGAGTAGGCAGTTTATTCCCTCTCTTCTCACAGCAGTACACAGGGAGGGGGGCTCCGGACTTAAGGAAAAATACATTGAGGCCTCAAAAAGGTGGTTATGTCATAGCCATAGAATATGTCTGTTCATGTCCTGTTTTTTACACAAACATAGGTATATGTTTGTGGATGTTAGTTCCCGCCGTCTTTGTCGGAAAAAAGTATGAAATTGATGTGAATTGATTGGGTGAAAATGAAAGTTTGAATGTGCTTTTTATTATCACCGGTCATTTATGAGGAAATGGAGAGGCGAAGTCACGCCCATCTACTTCCGGACCATGGGACCCCGGAAGCGAAACATTTACATTGAATTCAATGGAGAGAGAACACGTATCTTTTGATCCCATTTGAATTGTGCCACGAACTACAGATATGATGTTTGTCAATCTTAAACAATAATTTCCATGTCAAAAAAGTCAAATTTTGTCGTAAAACTGCTGACATATAAGACTATGAAAAATACGCTACTACAAAGACTACAAATCCCAAATCCCATTCTGGGTCGCGTAAGTGATGTCACAGGCATGCTCGGTGATTTATAATAAGACTCGTAATTAAAGCGAAGAAGAAGAAGATCTCATAACTGATTTATTCCCTCCAATAAATTATAGATCGCTAAAAATAAATTCACTTTTACAAGATGCCTGTGTGCTTTGTACCAGGTTGTAGTCATAAAAGTGATCATACCACTTGCTCCTTCTATCGATTCCCGTCTGATGAAAGGACCAGGAGTCGCTGGATCAGACATATCAGGTAATATCATAGGTAATATACATGTTGTGCATGGAACATAGTCAAGTTAGCTACCTAGCTCAGGGGTGGCCAACCTGCGGCTCTCGAGCCGCATGCGGCTCTTTGCCTAGTTTCATGCGGCTCTTCAGTTCATATTGAATTTTATATGTGTGAGTTTGGGGGAGAGACACTGACTCCTGACTAGTGGTGCACGGTGTACCGATACTTGATAGGTATACCGCGATACCCTGCCGTTAAAAACGTTACGATTCCTCCGTTTAAGAATGACGGCGGAAAGTACTCCGGTGAGAAAGCGCCGTTTAAATAAGAGCTGTGTGTGTTCAACGCTCTGCTTCCACTCCCTGCTCTGCAGCCGTGCCTGCAGTCCCGCCCCTCTAAAGCACGCTCAAGTGCCTCCCCGCTCTCGTGCACGCGCTAGCTGCCAGAGCATGTGAGAAAACGAGAAGCATGGCTGCAAGTGGGAGTGCAACTGCCGCTGCCCCTCGGCTTGTTGACAAAAAAGAAGCCAGAAGCGAAATGTGGAAGTATTTGAGCTATATCTCTGACAGTGAGGGCAAGCCTACGGACACCACGAGGCCTGTCTGTAAGAAATGTATTAATTTTATTTAATACGAATTCTTGTCATTTATTGTATTTATTGTTCTCATTGTTTAAAGGTTGTGTTATGGTTCTGGTTCTGGTCTGAAATAAAGCACAATAATTACATTTAAGACTGTTTCCCTTTTTTAAGAAAAGTATCGAAAAATAATCGGAATCGCAATTCTTGACTTGGTATCGAAACCAAAATGTTGGTATCGTGACAACACGACAGTTAAACCTGATATTTAGTAGGTCTGTTAAGTATTGAATGCTGATAATTCTGACGTAATTTGGCCGGTCAAAGTTGTTTGGGCTCGGATAAAATTGCTCCGTTACTTTCGTCCCGGCTCTCCCTACGTGTGTATGTGTGGTGTCAGGTGTCAGTATGAGAGGATGACAGCGCGTCTAATTTTGATGTGGCCCAAGAGCCAATCACAATAATACCTGCGATGCAGTGAACCAATCACTTTTTGAGGGGGGGAAACCTATCGTTGATTAAACACTACTATCCAGTGTTTCCCCTACCATTGTCTTTGAAGGGCGCTGCACCCCGCCAACGGAGCCCCGCGCCCCCCCCTGAAATTCAAGGTGTTTAAAAAATATATATAATTTTTTTTTAAATATATATATATCGCACCAAATTGAAAATAATCTATAACTACTATCACTTTCACATTGAACATGTGCTCTTTTATTAAATAAACTAAACGCTTTCATTTGAAGTTGTGAGTTTAGTGTTTTTGACCCTAAGAAACACTGATGCATTAATCAATAACAATAATCCACAGCTCCTCTCTGCTCCAGAGGATTTTAAAAATATATATCCCAATGCCACAAAAATGCATCAGTGACGTGGTTGAAATCTTGTCTCC